TGAGAAATCTTTAGACTTTTTTATGCACGGTTACAGAAAGGTGCACGGAGACGTTTTTGTGCACGGTTTTTCAAGGAGTAAAAGATATTTTTGCGTTTTACACGCCGATGACCTAAACAAATAGGATAAATTCTGTTGAGTAAGTTAACTTCGTTTCTTATTTCAAAAAAATATATACAAAACGAAGAAAACAAACAAAAAAAACCGTGTCACATTTTTATTTTTTTTAAGAGCAGAAATAAAATAAAAAAAAAAGAACAACAACCAAAAATACATAGTTCGGTATATTTGTTTCTTCAAATAACCATATTCGACCGAGAGTTTGTTAATTTTTTGTTTTTCTTATTACAATCATCCGCGCAAAGAAGAAAACAACAATATAAAAAAAAAGGACGGAAAACAAGGATTTCAACGTATGTTTGTATTTGTTTTTTGTTTCAATAATAAAACAAAACCAAAAACATAGACAGTTTGCACGTATGCACAAGAAAAAACACAAGAACAAGATCAGAGAACACACTCTACAAAATGTACAAAGCAATAGTAGCTATAGATAGATCGTGTGATCAAAATGAAAAACAGAGACGACAAAATCATCTATATTGTTTATTGAACAAAAATACAGGATTTCTAATAATAATAATAATAATAATAATAATAATAATATAATAATAATAATATGATAATAATATAATAATAATGAGTTGATTTTTATTTGTTTATATCGACTAATATAAGATAAAATAATGAGAGTAAACAAAAACAAAAAACATAAAAATTTTTAGTTAAAAAACATGAAACACGTCAAGCTTGAAAGTTATATAGATCATCATCACTGAAGGAAAAGAAGACATTGAACAAGCAAAGAAATCAGTTCATCCATTTACGACAATTTGATGCACCACACATACAAGGGATTTTTGAACTTTCATCTTCAAAATCAAATTTATAATCATACATAAGCTAAAAATATATATTAAAGATATTTTAGACTAAAAATGATTAGAGTAGAATTTTAGCATTCTTCATTTAGTTAATTTTAAGAAATAAATATTTTCTAGAGAAAATGTAAAAAATTAAAAATTTATATGTCATACCTCTTCTCCTTTAGTTATTCGTCTATTTGTTATAATTATTATTTTACTATCTTTTTCAATTTGCACAACTTCAGCAACACAATTTGGATTACAAGAATGATTAATATATCTAATATGAAAAATGAGCAAAGTTAAATTTAAAAAACAACAACATAATAATAATTTAGAAATTTGTTTTACCTCGCTAGTCCTCCACTCATTGTCGCATCAATAACATGTTCATCATCGATACGAAACATATATATTCCACGATTTTGTTGTTCATACAATTTTTCACGTTTATTTGCCACTTCATTTCGAATTAATTCACCAATATATTCAATGACCATTGTATGTTTTTCTAAATCACGTGCAGTAAATAAACCAAGACCCTAAAATAGAATATAATTAGAAAATAGAAAAAAGATTTAAAAATAAAAAAATGATTTAAATAAATTACTTGAATACGTGATTTAGCTAAAAAAACATTTTGACGCCATTCAATTTTTAATTTTCTATATTGTGTGGATTTTGATAATACAAAGTGTTTAACATAAGGTATCTGTGGATGATCTTCAATACCGAGAACAGTTCTTGGTAATGCACTTCGTGTAGAATTTGAACTTGTTAATGTTAGAGCATGTCTAATACACAAAAATAAATAAATAAAACAAAATAGAATATTTAATTTTATTATTTAAATTCTATTCATAGAAATAGTTTACCGTCGAAAATGTGTTTGTAATTTTGGTTCACTTCTAGCACATCCTGTTGGATTTAATGTCAATGGCATATCTAACAATTGTAATCGACCATATTTAAATGCATAATTTTGTAATGTTTCAACACCTGGTAAAGATTCTATCAAACGAATGATATGGGGTTCCTATAAATGTAAAAAAAAAATAAGTTTTTAGAGAGAAAAAAGAAAATGAAAGATTACAGTTGACAACATACCGTTAAACCATATAAATCTTCTCCGCTAACAAACATTGTGAACATTTTTACTAAACCATTTTGTCGACGTAATGTATCAATACTGTTAACAATTTTGTGCCAAGCAGCTACAAAAACATATTTACATAATACAAATGGTGATCTTACAAAAAAAGTATTTATAATTAACTACCTTTTGCTGTTAATTCCGTAAATTCTTCCTCAGGATATTCTTCTTCTCTAACTTTAACACGAAACATTGGTCTATTATTTACATCGATTATTGAACATATATAGGCACAACGTCGATTTGGACGATTCATTGACCAATAAAATCGCGTAATACAATAACCAACCTACAAGTGATTATAAATTATATACTGTGAATATTTTTGACAAGAAAAACATAGGATACATACTGGATAAATAAAATTTCGATTATGAAATGCTGCTGATTGTAATTGATGTGGTAAAAGTTGACCAACATTATGTAGTACAAGACTACCAATACGCAATGTGTATGTTGTTTCATCGTGTTCTTGACTCATATAACTATATAAATAGTGATACTTTTAAATGAATGTATTTCAAAGTGAAATATTAAGATAATAATACCTCTGGATTTGTTTAACTTCATCGCGATTAATCCAAACTTTTCTAAATACAGATTTATCATCGAGTATTTGATCATTTGTACCTGTGCGTGCTGTATGAAGAGGACACATAATTGTCTAAATAATGAACGGATCAAATCATTGATGATAAAACTCTCACTATAATGAGAAGTATGAAATTTACCTTATTTTTATAAAAACCACAACCATTATTAACCGCACACGGAAAATGATATGTATTTGGACAACGTGGATGAAAACACATTAAACTAGCGCCTTTTTGTTTGCACGATGCACATTCAATATTTAAACATCGTTTATACGCTAGATCAACAGACATTAATGCTCCATTCATTGTCTCATAGACTTCCGATGACCATAATGCACAATTTAAATGACACCATTTGCCAACATCAAGATTAAGTAAACTAAATAACAACAACAAAAATATATCAGTCGTTTTATTCTACTAATTTTATAATTGTTTCTTACCGTCCCGGTCCATTTGTTTCCATATCGCCAGAACCATTACAAAATGAACAAACACGAGTATCTTTTTTAGCATTTGTTGTTAATGTTAATTTTAATTCACATATTAACTGTTCAATTTCATTTGTATTAGGTAAACGTATGATGGTTTTCAATGTGGCACTAGGATCCCAACGTTTCCATCTAAGATCTTTCCAACGTTTTTCAATTGGCTTAAAAAAAATTAGGAATTATTTTTTTTTTAATCTCAAATTTTATTCTCAAATCTTTTTAGATATTTTTAAACGTAATCTCTACCTTGCTAACACTTTCTTGCCGCCGTTTTAATGTTGCTTTTTTCTTTCCATTTGGTGATACGACATCGACTGCTGTTGATGTTCCAGACGATGTAGATGGTAGTGGTGGTGATTCCATCGGTTCATTTTTGATTAACGGCATTGATAATGTTTGTGGAGATGTGAATGTAGTTGCTGTCGATGTTGGCAATTGTGTATTAATAGTTAAAGAGGAAGATGGTGGGGGACAATGTATATTAGTTAAATAGAGATTATAACACTGTTCATTGCAAAAATAGACAAATGGTTCAGATAATGGTAAATATTCTTTGATAGAAGCCGGTAATTCATTGAGACGTTTTTTAAATAAATTATCGGTAGTTAATTTTATATTACAATTTCGACAATATTTTGGTTGCATTTCAATAAGTGATTGTATACTGACACCTGTTTCTCTACCACATTTATACACGGTTCGACTTGGATGTGTATATGATTTGTTAAATATATTATTATTATTGTTTACAGATGTAGACGTACAATTCATTGTTGTGATTGTCGAACAAATACATCCTTTTGTAAAACAATCTAGAGAATTATAATCACCATTGCACAAAGTCGTTGCAGGATTTGAATGTGCTATAGATGATGTAGAATTTAATCCTGCTGTTTTTGTTGATGAATAATTTGAAACTGGATGACGAACATCAACTGATGACGGATAGGCAATTTTTAAAAGATCAGCAACAGCGGCTATAACACTTTGAACATCGTTTGATGCCTCAGTTGTTAGAGTTAATGTAACTGATACCTAGAAATAAAGAAATAGATTATATAATACAAAATGGAAATTTTTAGTTTTAATTTGGTTTCTACCTTATCAACACCACCTAGAATTGGTCGTCCATTCGCATCACTATTACTTCCACCACTTGAATTTGTCGCTACAGTTTTATTATCATTATTTAATTTGGCGAGCGCTGTTGATTCATCAAATTCTTTTTGTTCAGTTTTGATTGTTGGTTGATCAGATGGTAATAAAACTGGACTAATTGAACGTAATTCGTTTGAATAACATTTTGTGAGTGCTTTTAATAATCGAATATTTTCTGCTTCGACTCGTAAACGTTGTTGTAAACGTTTTTCGTCTGTCATTGCCGCTTCATCATCCAATTCTAAAAGAGAAAAATAAATAAAATTATGTTTATTGTAGTTTCTTTTGAATTGCTACAAAACTTTACCTTCATCGCATAGTGTTGATGCCGAAACAATACTTTCTGGTGGACTCGGCGAACATGGTGTATCGGTTAGGGTTTGAGACTGAGACGATTGTTCCGTAGTATTTTTATCGTTGTTGGTAGTATTTTTGATCTTTTTTGTATTTGATAAAGCCAACAATAGTTCCCGAACTTTTTCACATGAATCTAATGTCAGTGGTGGCGATGGTAATTTTGGTGGATGATCAAATAATGTAGAACAAACGCGATAACGACGTTCGAGAGCTGATAATGCACTCAAAGCTAAAAAATATAAGTAGATAATTCTATAGTACTAGAAAAGATAGAACAGTCAACTTTCTACATACGACAAATTATTTCTTTTTTCGGTGCTTTACGATCTGGTCTGTAATAATCATCAATTGTTTCAATATAAACATCACCAAAGTCGCCTTCACTGTTATATTGTTTATCTGATAAACCAATGATGGAATACGGTTCTTTACTGATGTCAATGGACGGCTCCATTGGATTTAACATTGGTAAATCTCGCAATTGTTGTAAGGAATTTTTAACAAATTTTTCGGTTTCTTCACTGCTTTTTTCTAAATAAATAAAAATCGGTACACACGCAGAGTAATCAGCAAAACACTTACTTTTTCTTTTTCGAACTTTTGCTGTTGTTCCAATATCTTCGTCTATGGATGCATTTAATTCATTTGCTTTCCGTTTTTTTCTTGGTTTTGTCACTTTGCTTGACGCTGCGTTTTGTTGTTGAGGTATTGTACTTGTACTTTGTTGTTGTTGATGATGATTCTGAAGATTAGATGCAATGACAACACTGTTCGTTGGAGAATGATGCATGTGATGAGTAGATGAAATGGTATTGCTTGATGAATTAAATAAATCTTTCAAATTTTGTGTTGATGGATCTATCCCTTTAAACTGTTGTTGGGTTCCATCATATTGTTCTGACGATAAATCACCATTTGAAATAACTTCTGCATTTGTTGACTGTTGATGAATCAGAGTAGAGACAACACCACTCATTGGTTTACCCAATGGAGTAGTCATTTCACATGATGGATTGTCAGGATTCTGAACAGAAAAATACATTCATTTTTAAAATAGTTTTATTATTATAGAAACATACCGTTTGCGGATTTATTTGTAGTAATGATTTTAAAATGTTATCATCGGTGGCTATCAGCGCTTGTTGTAACGCTTGATTTTGTTGTGGATTAACAGGCATAGTTGGCATTTGTCTTGTTTGTATCAAACCATCACTAACACTTGGCATATTCGTACGATAAGCAGTACAGGAGCTGTCATTTGTGCTGATATATTGAGGCGGTAGCTGCTGTGACGATTGACGTTGTTGTTGATAAGAAATGTGTTGCTGCTGCTGCTGTTGCTGTTTAATTAAATGATACTGCATTTGCTGTTGCTGTTGTTGGTTACTTGCTAATTGGGGCTGGATTACTTGATTATTATTATTACTATTCGGTGGCCTTTTCGTTTTGGAGGTATTAGCTAACGATGGAGTTGAACGTGCTTGTTGAGTATTTGGTGAGTGCTGTTGCTGGCTAAACAGGCGATTTAATTCAATTGTATTATTAGTCGATTGAGAATGTTGAGGATGATTTGTATTTAATTGTAAATGATTTTCTTTTGGAATAAAGTTCGTTTGTGAAGTGACAAGTGGATGTGAAAATTGCCCTAAGTTTAACATTGGCGTGATAGATGGCTGATTTGGGTTCGTATGGGGAATATTAATACCGATATTATTTGGTAAAGGAATAAGTGACGTTGTGGACGTTGACTGGCCCGCTGCCAACGGTGAAGCCGTTGGAGGACTTGTGGAAGAAGTTTGATCGGAATTTGTTGTAACAAACGAACTACTGTTACCTGGTGGACGAAGGAGAGGAACGTTAATTCCATAATTCTAAAAACAAATAACAAGTGACGAAAAACAGAAGGTTAAGGCTAATATTCGAGTTCAAAGAATATCGAACAGTTATCCGAAAAAATTAGTTATAAATTTGACTTACCACTAATAAATCTCGATTATATTGAACATGAGGTTGTTGAGTGCGTGTTCCTGCAAGCATTTGGGTAGCAGCATTGCTTGGACCAGGATGTCTTGGCTGCATCATCGGCTGAACTGTATTACGCTGTTGTTGTTGAAAATTTGCTTGTGACACGGCAGTAGCGGCTGTCGGCGATGAATCGATAATTGTCGCAACATTACGCGATGGTGCTTGTTGTGGTCTATTTGGCGATGGTGAATCTAAAAGTCTATCTTGGTTATTGTTACTAGAAATTAAATGAGTTGATGTACCCATTTGATTTGGCGTGGCAATATTTCGAGGTGATTGTAAATTCGTCAGACTATGTTGTTTCGATGGTGACTGTGGAACAGACGAACCAGATGAAATCTGTGGTGAATTAATCATGAATTTTGAGGTCGTGTCATTTGATGGTGAATGCAATAATGCTGTACTCGGTGATACATGATGAGTATCATCAAATGGATTTTGAACAAGAATTGTCATTGAACTGGAACCTTCTACACTTGATGTACGCATCATAGGTTGATTACGATTCGATGTGGATGTTGATTGTATACGTAGATCACCGGGCGAACTACCAATACAAACATTTTCCTGTTTGATATCAATTTTATTTGAAATTGATTCGTTCATAAATGATGATGACGATGATCGTAAGTCAAGTGTTTTGTTGAGTAATGATAGTATTTTTTCATCGATTGTGAGAATGATAATATCTTATATTGAATATACTGTTCTTGTTTCTTGAACAAATAAATTATTCACAAGACAATAGGTAAACAAAATAGCTCTCGGTCTGAGCTGTGAAACGTTTAGTGGATGTCTGACAAAGCTATCTAGAATAAAATACAGTATGTAATTTCAGAAAAGAAAAGTGTATAGATAGTTAATGCTGATACTAAAAGTGGTTGGCACTTTTGCATGGAATGTGTCTATTTCAATAGAACTAAAAAATAAAACATTTTCTGTCATTTGATGAAAGGGATATAAAAGAAAAACGATCTATATCAACATAGTAAACGTTGTTGGATAACGCTTCAAGATTGAACGAACATTCTAAAATAAAAATAAGATTGATATGAAGTACGTAAGCAAAACTAATAGATTCACAAGGATTTTATTCGGTTATCTTCGTCACTTTCAAAAAAGGCTTAAAATAATGGAATTAATCTGATGTTAAATTAGTTAGTTATTATTAGTTTTTTAATTAGTTTTTTAGCTGCCGATTTTTGGACACAAATACTACGCAACAAATATGGGAAAAGAAAAGTTTGTGATATATGCTTCTTAGAACGGTAAGCGTTGATAATAAAAAACCGCTCTATTATTGTTGACAAAACTTTTTTGTTCATATAAAAAAAAAGTTCGTATGCGAATTGTCAAACAGAAATTGACTTTCACCCGACGTGAATTAGTTTTTTAGTTCGCTAGTTGTATACCAAATCCATTACTCGCCCTGAATATTGACCAAAACTTATTAACATCAATATTATTTATGGCATAACTTCAAGTTAATCAATAAATTTGGTTGACATACCAAAAAATTAATATGAATATCAACGTCAATGTTATGTAAATCCAACATATAAGTGCCTGTGATTATGCAAAACTATAGATAAACGATAACTCATCCTGCTAGCTCGGTCATTAAGTATACAGCCTGTCATATTTTATACATCATGCAGGAGATATAATCATTCTAAATAAAATAGGGTGAATTCAAAATAAACTATACAATGAAAATGCAGTATGCCAAACGTAGTACCTTCAAAGATATATCATATTCAGGACAAAATTAGTATTAAGAAGAAAAAACTTGTGTGTTAAAAAACGCACTAGAAGTAAAACAAATAATAATCATCAATCAACATAGTTCTGGGCAGAAAAATTTGTCTGTTTCTCTCACAAAACTACTTTCGCTACAAACGAACATGTATTAGTCTATTCGTTTTCATCAAATTATACAGAAAACTTTACTATAAAATCTATTCGATTATGTTAATAAGCTGTCGTTTTGATAGTTTCTATATTTTATCTCTGATCACTTTCTTTTTACTTTTTCCATTTTTCTCAATTGGTATGTCTGACTTTAACTAATCAAACTAAGAACGAGAGACATCTATTGTTATGACTGGCTCAATTTTTTTGACTAATGAAAAACTTGTCATTAAATACCTGCATTCATCAATCAATAAGTTTGGTTGACACATACAAAAAAATTAATATATGAATGTCAATGTCAATGTCATGAAAATCCAACACATAAATGATACGAAATTATAGACAAAAAACGACTCATCTTGTTACCTTATCCGTTAATTCATACAGTCTATCATACTTTATCGTAACGTTGATAGATCCCAGTGAAATTATAGATATTTTATATTTCTTTTTAGTAAAGCCGTCTTGTAGCTTGTCGAAAAGGCTTGAAAATGTGAGTCTGTAGAGACGATATGTTATACTGCAAAAGGATTATCTATAGTCAAGAATTTTTAAAATTGATTTTTTACTTCGCTTCGTTAAGAAAAGGGCGTTTTATTTCTTCTGTCTTTCAGAAAGTCATGTGTACTGTGATTAATGCTTTCTAATGCTGATGGATATATCCGCTTTAGTTGCACAGATCAAACGTGAGATTTGTTGAATAGAAAATAGTTTACTGTGTGAATAGCTCTTCTGATTCAATTTTCGCCTTCCACAAGACATGTACCCTTGAATTTGATGTTCTCTCATCTTTACTGTGAATAACTTCTAACGTGTAATTTTATGCCATACATTGTGAAAGTATTTTCTTTAAATTTTAGGTATGTAAAATGTGAACATTGACATTTGTTGATGACAATGATTAAGTTGATTAAGCCTCTATAATATCTATGTGAACATATAGTTGCAAAGGCAGAAAAGAAAAATATCGATGTTAACATTTGTCATCGTTTCAGTTTTATTGCAAAGAAGAATACAGTAACGGTAGTCAAATACTGAAGAAGAATATGGTGTGCAGGAATAAGATTCACAGTTAGTTTCGATTCAATATTTTGTGATTAAACTAGGATTGATGTAATACATAAGTTATGTATCTTCGATAGTATGTGAAAGAAATTACATTTCCTTTTTTATTTTCTTCAGTTGGTACCGATTGGAAGAACTGTTATTAAAAAAATAGCTTTTTGATCGATAAACTAAACCTTTTTTTTATTAACTTTTCTTTTACATTCTTTTATTATCTCGAAAAACTTTTATATCCGGTTCTTTCATACTAATTGCGGCTACTTTAGACAGAAGATAGTCGCATGGCAATGTGGCGGTTACAAATAAGCATTCGCACTATCAAATATTGTTTATTGTTGACTTTTGAAAATGAACTCTTGTAATAATATGTTTTGCTTTTAGCTTACTTTGTTATATTCCACTATTAACATATCTTCGAGAGCAAATAACAAAGATGATTTTTCTGAATTTAGTAATAGTATGTTTTCATTTAACACTTTAATATTTGGTGCTATTTCTCAACTAGGTAATTATTCTTTTGTTTTCAGAGTTTGTCGAAGCGTTGTCTCTATTTTCAATATAAAAAAAAGCTGCTTATCAAGGGCGTATTTTGTCCCCTTCACGCTGTATTAAGCTTTCTCAAGCAAAGCTTTACGTTCAATTTCTAATAAAATCAACGAATTATAATAAAAATCACCTGTTATTCACAAGATTAGAAGTTACGAGATTTCTTAAATCAAAAATTCAAATATAGTTTAGATATCCAAAAAATTGACGAAGATGATAGAGAGACATAGACATTGGTAATCAACATTATTGACTTGAAATACATGCACATAAAATAAGTGTTTATTATAGAAGGAAGTACAATAAAGTTAAAATTGTCATCACCAGTGTAAAAAAAGCAAAATAAATTTTATTAACCAAGAGAGTAAAATGCTTAGCGCTAAAAAGTATGGAAACAAAGAAAGGAAAACTTTTAGAAGAAAGCCAACTTTTATTAGATTTGAAGTTTAAAATGCCTAGTATGACCCAATAAGAGGGATAAAGGGTAATACCGTACTATACTCTTCAAAAATTTTATTTCAGTTTTACAAATTGCGCAAAAAAAAACGTCATAATTTATTTAAAAAATTGAAAATAATTCACTCTAAATTCAAAAAATGTTTGCATGCCAGAATCGCGTGTCGTTATTCCTGTCTTGAAAGTCTTCGATACACTTCTGAATTTTTTTATCACATGAAGAAAGCTGACATATCATAGGTAGTGGAATTCCCTGAAGTGGGGCATGCTTCAGCGACATCTGCTGTTCGGGAATCAGTTAGTTGATTTAATCGAACAATCAGTTAATTGTCGAAAAACCAACGAAATAAAACGGCTTTTTCCGTCTTGTACTTATTGTATAATATATCCGCATTTTTTCTTCTATTGACATTCATGGCATTTGAGTTCTCATGCATGTTTTTTAGTCGATATCTCTTTCTGTTGGAAATCTCTTTCCAAGCCTCCGAATTGAATCGTTCTATATTCTTCGTAACGCTTGTGTATTTCGTGCTCAAACGTAACTTGATCAAACATATTTAACAAAAATATCTTGGTACGAATTTCTGTTTTTTTATGCACATAAATCCTGTATATAGGAATTTCACTGTTGGTTTAAGTCCTTGCTGACAAATCTTTGTCGTCTATGCACCCGGAATTTTGTAGACATATAGTCTGGGCGATACACTGATCATCCGACAGCTTTTGGCAAGCTCTTTGATCAAATAGTTTGTTGACAGATTTGAATTTGACTTAGATTCGAGAGCTTTTTTATCAGATCTGTTTAAAGTACAGTTAGAATCTGTCATATTCAAGAATCGATACATACAACGGAATAGACATTTGAATTATATGTCTGTCAGTTAGGTTCGAAACTGTTTCATTTAACACTACAAATAGGTTCTCAGTGCGAAAATTTTGTCTTATCTCTCGCCTTGCATAATCAAAAAATGGCATTAACTACTACGAATTTCGAGAATAACTCTGGTTATATTGAGAAAAAAATTAGTCATAAAGTTTTCTGTCGGACTTGGACTTGACGTGAATTTTGACCTGTAATGGACTTGAACTAGGAAGGATTTGTCCACCTCTGTCTAAGAAGAATGAATATTATTTTTGCACCAAGCGGTAGTCATAATGCTTCCATTCATAGCATACACTTGACGTGTGGTGTTAACTGTTACTGAAACACAGCTGTTTTTCAATGGTCGATCACTTTTAATTGAGATACCTCTAAAAAATAGAAGTTCGAAACGTAGTCTAAGCGTATTCTTTAGACTTTAAACTTTCATCAGCTATTTGACGGTGCCTGCTTCATTTGTCAAAGTTAGACGATTAACTCTTCTATGGTTCAAAAAAGTCGTTGAAAATAAATCGAGAGACGAGCGTTAAAGAGCTAAGAGTCACTCTTTCTGCCATATCTTCTGCATTAATGTGTATGGTATGGAGTATAGAAGTTGAAACGTCAGTGAATGCTGCTATTCTTGGACAGATGTATTTATCAACCATTATACCTTATGCCTAAGTTCTTTAATCGTATCGAACTACGTCGTATAATGTCTATCTTGTTCTTTGGGTAAGACTCACTCATCGGGAGCTTAAATGTCAAGACCTCAAGTATCGAGAGGCTTATCTGTCGGGGCTCAAACGTCAGAGATTTATCTGTCAGTGTGTCACTTCAATGAAATAGAGCAGTTCGTACTGGATGCAGGCAAGTTGTTTCAAGTCTACGCATGAGTGCTAATTTAGATGTTATATTCTTCCACGTACGATCGTATGTTATTATGAAGGAAATGATCGATGCAGTAAGTCGACTTACCAAACCAAGAAGGGGCGAAAAGTTTCCTTTATGGTAAGATGCTTCTCTTTTTTGTGTACGTAAATCAAATATTTTAATCGTTTTCTGTTATACAATTTGAGACGACAAAAATGTATCAGAATGGAACATCTAGCGAAATATTAGAGAGAAAGAATCAATCGAAACACATACTAAGAGAAACAAAATGAAATACAAAATCAATTTCATTCAAAAGGCACTAAGTGGCTTTCTAATACATGTTGTATTAAAAGCAAAATAAAGTTGACACTAAGTATAGTTTTGAACCCTTTATCTTAAATATATACAGTTTTTGTTTCTCTTGATTGCTATAAATGTTTCAAGAATGTCATTTATAAAAAAGACCAAATGTACGCAGATGAGAGCTTTATCGTGAAAAAAAGATCGCGGCATTCAAAGAGAGTTGTTTTGAATTTTTTCTAATTTTCAATCATATCAGCAGATTAAAAGTGACCGTGCGCACGTTTTTATTGGTACTTAGTTTATTAAGTAAAAGATGTATCATAACACAAAATGCTATATTTGCTATGGAGAGAAGGTTCGATGTACTCTAGCACGTGATTCAATAAACTCCATATATAGATGAAATATCCCTTCTTTCTACGATTTTATTTTGTATTCTGTCTAAAATGAAGATCGAAAAAATGAGTTATACGTGCCAAGATTTGCATTGTCACGCCCATATTCAAAAAAATACACATTTCTTTCTCTACTCTCTGCTATTTAAAAAAATCTAATCGATGTGTACAACTTTATGGAATAAACTCAAGTGGATCGAAACATGCGGAAAACGGTCGATGAGGTGATTTTTAATACCGATTTAAAAGCAATTTTGCAACTTCATAAATAACGTTAAAATAAAATAAGAATATTTAACATCAGTGACACTTTAATGGATAACGTGAGTGTCGAATTTAATACGAAATTAAATGTGACTACACGCACTCTTGTCTGTTACGGTCAGGTGACTTTAGAAAAAGGTTACTTGAAGTCTTTAGAATTTTTCTCATTTGTAGTTTGACAAGCACTCTAAATGACAAAATAATGAATAGAAAACAAGATTTAAATGTTTTTTATGTTCTGTGCGATAGGTGACTTAGGTAGAATATTTCATCTGTTTTGTGTTGCATCTTATTATTTTCCGGTGATATGTTTGTATTTCTGCTTTAGATGAAATGGTCTGTCTGTAATATTTTGTATTATTGATTTAAAATGGCGGAAAATGAAGAGTGTCCATCTTGTGATGGTCTTTATGGTAATGACTTACGGCGACTTCCATGGTAAAAATTTCATTCTTTTCCCCTAATTTAAAGCCAATAAAAATGGATTAGAATGTTGTTCATTTTTTTCTCTACTGTAGTAAATGTGTGATGTGTCACAAATGTGCTATGAATAATTTTGAAAATGGAAAATTAAAATGTTTGACATGTTATGCATTACATTCATATTCATCAAAGAATACATTAAAGAAGAATTTAATAAGTATTGGAAATAAAAATCATGGTAAAAAAGTACCAAAACCTGTTTCATTATTCACATCCACAATGCCTATTGAAAAACCCGAAGAAGGAGCAGCTGCAGCTTCACCAACAAAAGAAACAGCAACAATAGCAAAAGAACCAGTTGAAACAACATCTCCAGCTCTTGTCAGCACGTTAACATCTAAACCAGAAATAAAATCAGAGAGACTATCGCAGCAACCAATTACATCCGTACCATCAAAGCCAAGCGCGCTAACAGATCTTACCGAACTACCTACAACAGTTCAAGCACCAGTCGTTAGAAAACCACAAATTGCTCGTTGTTCGTCTTGCTTAAATAAAACAGAATTAATTGTAGGTTACTATATTCTCATTCGTACGAGTAAAGTGGTATAAAACAGAGTTTCTTTTCAGATTTGTGAGCATTGCGATCATTTTATTTGTTTAAAATGTGCTGATGATCATCGTAATAAAGCCGAATTACTGAGTAAAAATTTGATCGAACAATGGAAATTATGTAAAGAAAAATACGAAATATTCATTCAAACGACGAGTGAGTACTCTGTTCATCAAATATAAGGACAATGACAGATAATTGGTCTCGCTAGAATTTCCAGAAAATATGATCATAAGCTATCATTGAATGAAATAGTGAACACTCTTAGTAGCTTTGAAACATTTAATTTAGACGATTATGATCATGAACGAATTAAAATTGAAAATCAACTCATGGTAATACGGGATCAAATAAATCAACGTACTGACGATGCCATAAAACTAGTCAAAAATCAACATCAAACATTGTTAGAATTGGTTGATAATAGTCAATCAAAACCGGTTAAACTGTAAGTTTCAGACTGCCATTAAGCGTACAAAAAAAGTAAGAAATTTCTTTCTGATCTTCTAGTACAAAACATACTGATATCGAACAAGAGTATGTAGATGTTCATAATCGTTTGTCAAATGCATTGAATAAGTAATGAATATTTTTAGTTTTGGAGTGAAAATCATTAAATGAAATTTTATTTTTAATTTTTTGTTCTAGTGGTGATACTGGCACATATAAAACACAAGATTTTCTTCTTGAACTTGATCATTTAGAAAAAACGTTGGATGAACGAGCCACACTAACGAAAATATACACATTGAAAGTAAATGCGATCTGTTTGAAAACTCAGTGATTCAACAAGAAAAAACGCCCACAGTTTTAAGCTTATACCATACAAAGGGAGCGTTGCCTTCAAAGAGTAGCTTACGGGCTTCAAGAAGTATAACAGAACACGCGCGTATAGCGTTTGAATGGAACTTTAACGCCGCAATCTCATAGTTTTGTAAGATTTTTTTCGTCCAGGTCCCTGTTTTGAACAAACCAGAAAATATATCAATAGCAAAATTATTTGGTAAACTCTCGTTTGAATCAAAAACAGTGATTAATAATAATAACGATCAAAACGATAAATTAACAGTGATGGCAAATACTACGACGTCAAAAATGTCTTCCAATTCGACGTTGTCAACATCATCGAATCCATTATCTACAGTATCAAAAACAGCGTCAGTAATGATTAATAAAGAACGACTACCATCACCCCAACGACAACAGGATACTAGTAGTGACGAGATATTTGCTGACTTTTTGAAAATGAAAGCTCAAATACATCAGTCTTGGAGTAAGCTGCAACTTCATTATTCGGTTTGATGAAAACTCTAAAATTAAAATTGTGTTTCAGATACACCGTATAATAAAATTGTAGATACAGCACCAACTTCAACATCACAAGATATGAAAGTATCGTTGGACAAACGACTACGATCGGTACCCTTGTTCCCATCTGTACCTGTTCCATTAACTTTAACACATTCACTTCCGTATCCGGCTGGTAGAAAAAATACTGTGAAGTTCCTATATTGTTTTGGTTAAGTGTTCTTTCTTCTTCTTGCTCTAGTACCACATTATTTGTGTGTGATTGGAAAGCCATTGCCATTATTATTCGTTTGTGATAAATACGGTTGTATTGGAAAATATTCATTGAGTAAAGGAGTTAAACCAAAAACAAAAGGACAATTTCCATTTTACTTATTTAGTAAAGTTCATGATAATAATACCGAACATATTATCGAATCATTCACGATTTCAACACGATATATAATTGTATATACACGAGATAAAGATGAAACAACATCAGGAAAAATTTATTTTTTCACATATGATGGAGAATATAAAGATGGTATTCGTCAAAATATAGCTGTATGTATTCCAGTTTTTTTATATACAAAATATTTGTAGAGATTAAAACTCGTTACAACTTCTTTTCTCTTACTTTGGTCAGAAACAACATTTGACAGTTGAAGAGTTCCTTGTCAGAAACCTATTTTCATCCCAAAATATTCGATCTTGATAAAATTTCCAAAGAATATGTGTCTTATCCTAAAGATTAACATTTAAACCCGACATAGTGAGTTTTCCCAGAATTATCTTAAAAATAAGGGTCAAAAAGTAGGTGTTCGTAGGGCAACATACTGAACTCTATTTGAAAATAGTGATGAAAACATCTTGCTAAATCCTCTCTTCATCTCATCAAATTGTTTAAATGATCTTTCTATATTCAGGTACATCATATTCTTGCTGATAGTTATACAAATCGTTTATGGTGTTTGGATCGTATGCGTTTTCGTTTATATTATTATGCACTACCAACATCTGCAGATGAAATAGTAAAATGTTTAAATGTAACAAAAGAATTTGCTTCATTTATCTCATCGTGCTATGCTGCTAAACTGGTGCAAAATGATCAATTGATTGGTTTTTTTGAACGTAATACGCATACTATTCACTTTTATGATAAAAATAGTGGGAAAAAAGTAGAAGAATTTGAAAATAATCATTATATGGATTCGTATGAATCCTGGGGTATTGTAGGTTTAACATCTGAAAATAATGTCGTATTGAAAATTGATGAAAAAGTATCAACAGGAAATGGACAATCAGAAACGATTAATCG